TTATTTTGTTCTTAAATCTTTATTCAAACTTCTTATTTGATTAAATTTATTGTTTTTTATTTTGCTACAATTATTTGTTTTAAGTTTTTTTATTTTTAGTTTTTTTTTTAAATGTATGTATACAAAAATCTTATTTAATTTCTTACTTTATGGCTTATTTAATTATTAATAACTTAATACAAAGAGTTAAATTTTTATCTTGCAGAAAAAATTTTGTTATACTGAAAAATTTTAAATTTAATGTTGGAATATGTGTTTAAGTCAATGTATGTTGCATCAAATAGACTTGTGGCTTATGAATAATCTTAACTAAAACCAGTAAGAGCGCTATATTTGACTAAACCGGATCTAGAATGCCCTTCACCTATAGTTCAGTTTATTATTACCACTTCGAATATTTATAAAATTTTACGTTTTATAATAATCTGCGATCTCTCATATATCCCACCAAACATTTAAGAACATAGTGAAGTTAATTTAAAAATGTCCATTTAAATTGAATTTTTGTTTGACAAAGCTATTTCGTGTCTAGATTAGACACATTTTTATTATGCTAAACGTCAAATTGTTATCATGATAAAAAATTAGCAGGTACAGACAGCATTTATTGGCGTTATATCATCGTTATGATTGTCTAATCAATTGTTTATACAACATTGACTTGATAACAAATATCTTTGTATTGTAAAATTTGCATAGAAATTTGTTTTTGCTCTGATAGATATTTGTCTAATATATACACGGAGTTATGGATGTGTCCTGAGCAATAATGACAACTGTACATGTCATTCAGTATGTAATAGACCAGTGGAAATCATAGCTTCACGAATGAATAATCATTTGTTTGGTTCAACTAAAATCTTACGTTTCTAAGCTGGTTACATGTGTAACCGTCACTACCCTATTAGAAGGTGCAACCCCGTCAGAACTTTCCGGTACCATGCCATCAAAAGCTAGGGGTTATTAGTCACCAAGGGTAGTAACATTTTCTGAGTCCGATCTTACAGTAAGTTGAAACCAAAGATAAATGATTGTACAATACATAATTGAAATCAAATATGTGTTTGTTCATTGCTAAAGCAGATTCTCACTGGTTACAATACAAATGATTGATGGTACAGAAACATCAGTTAGATTGTAAGAAAAATTATTTAAATGTTTAGAAACATAATATAAAATGTAAGGTTCTTCAGGAAAAGCTTTCAGGATAAAAATTAAAGATCATAAATCGGACAAACCAGGACTCGTAGGAACTTAATGATATTAGTACCGGTCAATATCCTTGTCAATATCACCCTTGTGGTATACTAAAAAGATTTCTTGATACCTCCAGTTAAAAACTGTGACGAAAGTGTTAACTAAATTTTTATTAAACCTAAAATTTACCGTAGATTCCTTTACAATATAGCATTAATTGCGAAAATAGTAAAAACTTGTGGTCACTCTATTTCCAACAAAGAAAAAAATTGGAAAACTAATTTCAATATTTCTATTTGATATGCATTTCTTTCACGTAGTTATGGAAGCGTCCTGAACTTTAATCATATCTCTACATGTCTTGCATTTATGTAATAGACCAGTGAAAACCATAACTTCAGGAATGAATAATCATTTGCTTAGTTCAACTAAAAACTTACGTTTCTAAGCTGGTTACATGTGTAACCGTCACTACCCTATTAGAAGGTGCAACCCCGTCAGAACTTTCCGGTACCATGCCATCAAAAGCTAGGGGTTATTAGTCACCAAGGGTAGTAACATTTTCTGAGTCCGATCTTACAGTAAGTTGAAACCAATTATAAATGATTGTACAATACATATTTGAAATCAAACATGTGTTTGTTCATTCCTAAAGCAGATTCTTACTGGCTATGATACAAATAATTGATAGTACAGAAACATGCGTTTTGACCATGATATAAGCCATAACTACGCTAAACACAATTCATTTAGTTAACAAGGTTTATAACAAGACCGATAAAAAGTGAACTACTGAACGTAAGTCAAAATTAGTGACTCAAGAACATTTTTGTAGTTCAGAAATGTATATATAATTTTACTAGAACTGTCACGTCAGTTGTACATGTGGATGTTTACATTTTCAAAAAGCAATTTTACAATAGATTTACTTATACTAAGATTACACAGCACATGTATTTTAGTAGGTCATGAAAATAGTAAGTTTTGTTAGTTAGAGAAAAAAAATAACTTATACCATAGCATCCACTACCCTGTTTTTGCATGGTCCGTTGGGTGACATGGTATAAGCCGGATATCGCCAATTGATATCCGAATAGGCGAATCACAAAAGTTTTTCTTATAAATATACCACTGGAGGGACTCGTAAGTATCGCAGTAGTTTAACAATAAAGTTATGCAAATATAAATTATAAAGCATGTATAGGGTTACAAATTTTTTTTGTTCAATAGAATAATATATAATGTGTTCATCAAAAATTTTATAGATATTTTACAATGTTTTCTTTTTTTGGTAAAAATATACAAAAACAAATATTTTATTTTAATAGATTTTTTTATAATACAGAGATATTTTTATTTTTTGTTTTTGGTACAATAATAAATTATTTGTTTATTTTTTCGCTTATACTTAGAAAATACTTTTTCACTTATTTTGTTCTTAAATCTTTATTCAAACATGATTCAAACAAACTTTTTATTTGATTAAATTTATTGTTTTTTATTTTGCTACAATTATTTTTTTTTAAGTTTTTTTATTTTTAGTATGTTTTTAAATGTATGTATACAAAAATCATATTTAATTTCTTACTTTATGGCTTATTGAATTATTAATAACTTAATATAAAGAGTTACATTTTTATTTTGCAGAAAAAATTTGTTATACTGAAAAATTTTAAATTTAATGTTTGAATATTTGTTTAAGTCAATGTAATTTGCATAAAATGTACTTGTGGTTTATAATAATCTTAAATCTTAACCAGTCAAAGCGCTATATTTGACTGAACCGGATCTAAAATACCCTTCACCTATAGTTCATTTTTTTATTACCACTTCAAATATTTATAGAATTTTACATTTTATAATAATAAGCTTCAAAAATCTGTGATCTCTCATATTTCCCACCAAAAATTTAAAAACATAGTGAAGTTAATTTAAAAATGTCCATTTAAATTGAATTTCTGTTTGACAAAGCTATTTCGTGTCTAGATTAGATACATTTTTATTATGCTAAACGTCAAATTGTTATCATGATAAAAAATTAGCAGGTACAGACAGCACTTATTAGCGTTATATCATCGTTATGACAATGTTGTCTAATCAATTGTTAATACAACATTGTCTTGATAACAAACGTCTTTGTATTGTAAAATTTGCATAGAATTTTTTTTTTGCTCTTTTTGTCAAATATAGACGTGGAGTTATGGATGTGTCCTGAGCAATAATGATAACTGTACATGCCATTCAGTATGTAATAGACCAGTGGAAATCATAGCTTCACGAATGAATAATCATTTGTTTGGTTCAACTAAAATCTTACGTTTCTAAGCTGGTTACATGTGTAACCGTCACTACCCTATTAGAAGGTGCAACCCCATTACACTTTACGGAACCGTGCCATCAAAAGCTAGGGGTTATTAGTCACCAAGGGTAGTAACATTTTCTGAGTCCGATCTTACAGTAAGTTGAAACCAAAGATAAATGATTGTACAATACATAATTGAAATCAAATATGTGTTTGTTCATTGCTAAAGCAGATTCTCACTGGTTACAATACAAATGATTGATGGTACAGAAACATCAGTTAGATTGTAAGAAAAATTATTTAAATGTTTAGAAACATAATATAAAATGTAAGGTTCTTCAGGAAAAGCTTTCAGGATAAAAATTAAAGATCATAAATCGGACAAACCAGGACTCGTAGGAACTTAATGATATTAGTACCGGTCAATATCCTTGTCAATATCACCCTTGTGGTATACTTAAAAGATTTCTTGATACCTCCAGTTAAAAACTGTGACGAAAGTGTTAACTAAATTTTTATTAAACCTAAAATTTACCGTAGATTCCTTTACATATATAGCATTAATTGCAAAAATAGTAAAAACTTGTGGTCACACTATTTCCAACAAAGAAAAAAAATAGGAAAACTAATTTCAATAATTCTATTTGATATGCATTTCTTTCACGTAGTTATGGAAGCGTCCTGAACTTTAATCATATCTCTACATGTCTTGCATTTATGTAATAGACCAGTGAAAACCATAACTTCAGGAATGAATAATCATTTGCTTAGTTCAACTAAAAACTTACGTTTCTAAGCTGGTTACATGTGTAACCGTCACTACCCTATTAGAAGGTGCAACCCCATTACACTTTACGGAACCGTGCCATCAAAAGCTAGGGGTTATTAGTCACCAAGGGTAGTAACATTTTCTGAGTCCGATCTTACAGTAAGTTGAAACCAATTATAAATGATTGTACAATACATATTTGAAATCAAATATGTGTTTGTTCATTCCTAAAGCGGATTCTCACTGGGTATTATACAAATGATAGATACAGAAACATTAGTTTTGACAATGACATAATCCATAACTACTCTAAACAGAATTTATTTTAATTTAGGGGTAATAACACGCGGTTAAGAAATTTATATTTAATTCACCATGAATTATGGAAATATGTTTCTGTCGAGTCCTAGCTTAATTATATAAACTATCTGTCCAGTCACGACCTACTGTTCTTATTTTCTGTTTTAAGTTTGAATTAAATTTGCACTCACCCGGATATTTCAGCTACAGTATTATTGTTGTAGCAGCGATACGTGTAAAGTCGGTTTGGCTGAGTTGACAATCCTTGGTCGTTGTTCGTTGAGCTCCAAGTCGTACCGATTGTCGTGGTAACCATAGCTGTTGTAATCTGAAACAAAAAAAACGACTTTAGTATATGTTCTAATTTTAGTAAATTCTAAATTTAAATTCTATTTTTTATATTTTTTGCACTGAATTTATTTTGATTTGGCATCATAGTGGTTTATTCCAAATGGTACGTCTTTCCCAGTGACAACTGAATTCTAAGGAACCTGTATGGGAAATAATACATTAGTATTTTTATATTGTTTAAGTTGATAGTAACATTTTCTAAACGAATTTCTTTATTTATTTTTTTTTTTTTTTTTTTTTTTTTTTTTTATTTAATTTGTTATTATACAATTATAACTGAGCCCAAAGGGCCATATATAGTTAACAAATTTACTACATATAATGAAAAACCACTTAACAAAGAGTAAATAACAAAATGTTTAAAAATAAATACAATATAAATCTTATATATATATTCTTAAGATTAGATAGGAAGAATAAAGAAAGAGAAAGAAAAGGATATAGATATAGAAGAGAAAATGGGGAAAATCTCAATTGCAAGATGGTGATAAAAATCAATTATAAATCATTATTTAGAAGATGAACAAATATTTTATTTTTGAAGGTGTTATAAGAAAATCGAAATGTTCTAAGAGAGCTGGGCAAATTATTGAATATTCTAGCCACTCGCACGTGGAAAGAACGCTCCAGTACTGATGTTAGTCTAGGAATCTGAATTTGACGATTACGACTTGAGCGACTAAAGGAGAAAAATGACATAATGCGTAAAATGTTACCATTTTTGTAAATATTGTAAAAACAAAGTAAAAGTCGCGACTTTATATAATTAAGAAAAGAACATTTTAAAAATCTGCAAACATAAATTGATACATGATTACGACGTCGTAAACAGAAAAGGTATCGAATAACTCTATTAAATAATTTGGTGAGTATTTTAATGTTGTACCCTAAGGTACCACTGTAAATCTCAATCCCATATAAAAATATAGGCATAATTAATGAATGAATTATTATTATTTTAACATTCATAGGTAAAATCAAATTGGTGTTATAAATGTTACGTAAAGCATAATTGACCCTGGATATAACAAAATGTATATGTCTATCAAAGCAAAGCTTGTTATCTATCCACAATCCGAGACATTTGATGTGGTCAACAAATATAATTTCATTACCGTTAAGATTTAAAGAAAATTGAGCATTAGGTAAACCAAAAACTACAGCCTTCGTTTTCGAAGTGTTTATAATCAATTTATTTCTACACATCCAATTGTTAATATTGGAAACAGCATAAGCAAGCTGCACTTGCATTACATCAGCAAATTGTTTTTCACCACAAAAAAGATAAAATAAATCATCCGCGTAAGCAAATGGAATACAAGATGAGTTCTTATCAAATTCCCTGAAAATGTCATTGATATAAATATTAAATAGGATAGGCCCAAGTACCGAGCCCTGAGGTACACCACTTCTAACCGGTAAAATACTGGAAACTTTTTCACCAATTGAGACATACTGAAATCGATCAACAAGATATGAAAGTAAAAGTTTGCAAGATGATAATGTAAGACCAAGATTTTGATGCAATTTTGAAATTAAAATGCAATAATCGACTTTATCAAATGCCTTAGTGAGGTCCATTGAAAGAAGGACATTGAAATTTCCTTTATTTAAAGACTGTCTTATAGTATCTGTCAATCCCAGTAAAAGAGAGGTCGTATTTCTACCATGCCTAAAACCATATTGAGCATCACTAAAAAACGATGTTTCATCAATATAATCCAATAACTGATTTTTAAGCAAAACTTCCACAACTTTAGATATTACAGGTAATATTGAAATTGGACGCAAATTTGAAATATCATTAGATTCTCCGATTTTCCTTATGGGCACAACTCTACCTATTTTCCAACCCATAGGAAATGTAGAAGTAGTTATTATATTATTAACAAGATGCAATATGTAAGTTCCAATAAAGGGAAAGACTAATTTAAGAAATTTAACTGAAAATCCATCGCAACCAACAGCATTAGATTTAATTGATTGTAATGCATTAACTAATTCATCCAGGTTAACAGTTCGAAAAGAAAATCTATTATTATAAGAAAAATCTATTCTATCAAAATTAATAAATGAGTTATCACCTTGATTAGAAGAAAAGAAAGAATTTAAATTTTCAACATCAACTTTATCAATGTTAGTAACAGTATCTCCAATTCCATTTGCTCGAAGTGTGTTCCAAATTTGTTCAGAGTTCTTATCATGAAATAATGTAGCATGTGCTTTGCGTTTAGCATTACGTATAATGGTTTTTGACCGATTTCTTAAGCGGCAGAAGTTATTCCAATTCTCCTTCGATCTTTTCCGCAAGTATAAACGATAAGAAGCATTTCTAATCGTCAAACTATTTTTGATCTCAGGGGAATTAAACCACGAGTCATCACTAAATCTACAAACTTTACGTTTTTTAAATGGCACAGCGCTGTGCATTTGACATAAATATAAGAATAATAAATTGGCTTGCTCATTAACATCAGCGGTGTAGAAAATTCTATCAAAATCACAAGAATTAAAAATAAATTCTAAAAGAGAATAATCAACATCATTAAAATCGAAATATTCAATGAATTCCTTAACCATCGGTATTTTTACATCAAAAACTGCATATATAAATGAATGACGTGAAGTTCCTGGAATTTGAACTTGTCCTGATTGAATGGTGTTCATAGACGGAGATATAAGAAAATAATCAATTAAAGATGTTGAACCAAATCTTATGCTCAAATGAGTAGGTAGAGAGTTATGATGACAGATCATGTTTAATCTACTGCACATTTCCCTTACAGAAACTGCTCTAGAAATATCAAACATATTGTTATTAAAATCACCAATAATGACAATATCATTGTATTTAGTCAAGACATCTGTAATACTATCCTCTATTGATGTTAAATCACCGTGAGGAAGATAAACAACACCAACAAGTATTTTACGACCAGATACAGTTATTTCAATAAACAAAAATTCGGCAGACACATGAGACCTATCACCTCTCCTATTAGTTTTGTATTTAGTTTCTCTGCAGATAATATTAAATTTTAAACTCCTAGATACATATAAGGCAACGCCACCACCTGTTATACCCGGGCGATCATTTCTACAAATTACATAACCTGGAAGATAAACGGAGTTCGATGAAATATACTCAGTTAACCAGGTTTCAGTTATTCCAACCACATCGAATAAATTGTTACTTAGAACATTTCTCAATTCATCGAGTTTGGTCGATGTACCACCTAGTGCGAAACTTTGAAGATTAAGGTGACCAATTTTTAAATTATTGGAGTAATTACGCAATTGAGATTCAAAAAAAGAGTTATCATAGATAATAGTGCCTAAATTAGAATTCATTATTTAAGCAAAGGAATGAGGAATAGAAAAAGGAAATTTGAAAAAGAAATCGAAAAAGATAACATAAATTTCTGGCAGAAGGTAAATAAAAATTATATGAATTAACAAAGAAAATTAAAAAATTATTAAAAAAATTATATTATATACAAATTACACCAACGAAAAACTAGTCGTATTTGGCTTAATTAAGTTTTTAATGAAAAACTTCCAAAATGTTTTAAAATAAAAGCTACATTGTTAAATATTAACAATAATATTATGTTTCATTTTACAAAAATGTTGATATAAATTACAAAAATCAACTAGTTTTTTATAAGATGTAAATTGTATATAATTACCAAAACATCTAATAAAAACAAAAAAAAAAAAAAATAAAAAATAGTATATCACAAATTTGTATGTATGTATGTAAATTAGATCCAGCTACCACTTGAGTCAAGTTCAGTTGTAGAATTACCATCCTCCTCTAGAATACTAACGCATTGCTCCAAAGTAAGCATTTTTACTGTTCCATCCAAGAATACAGACTCAACTTTAGGAATATCGTAATTTTTATAAGTATACTTCGTAATTTTTCCATTCTCCTTTAATTTTTTACAAGCAGCAATCAGTTCTTTAGCTGCAGGCGTTAAATGATCATTTAGAAAAACGTTAGTTGTAGCATGACCACCAATGACATCTTGTAAAATAATATTTCTATTTCTCCGATGATTAATCATTATCTTATCTCGAATTTGTACTGAATTAAATTTGACTAGTACTGATTTTCCTCCCTCAAAATATGTACAATGTTGAATATCGGAATAGTATAGTTGAACATTACATAATGATGCTATTTTAACTATAGGTTTCCGCAAATTTTTTAATGTTCTTGGCAAACCTTTTATGACTATGTCTGCTCTATTTAAACGTCTTTGAGAAATATTATTTTCTGTTTCCAACCGCTTTATTTTTTCGGTGGCTACATTATCAATAATCTTAATCATATTATAGCAATTTTTTATTTCAGATTGTAAATTGTCTCCTCCTAAGAATTTGTCATCTGAGTATTTTTTAGCAAGTACATCAAATCTTGCTTCTATAGCCTTTAACCCAGCCTCTAATTGATTCTCAAGTAAACGTTTATTTTCAAGAAATTTTTTCTCCAGATCTTTTTCTAGGGAACTTGTAAGGGCTGCAAAACCATTCCTCAATTCTTCTTGAACATTGCAGTACTTTGGCATACGCGCACAGGCATCACATATATATTTTAGAACTTTATTATGAAGACAAATGTTATAAAGTTCAGTAGAAAATTTAGCACAACCCAAATGAAAATAATTATTGCAATAAGCACAACCAACACTTTTTTGAATTTTTGTAACGTTTTTATTGCATAGAGGACATTTGCAGCTTTCTTTTTGTGGTGACATCATAAAATTGAAGTAATTGAAAATTTCCAGCTCTGGTGTAAAAAAAAACAAAAATAAACAAACTGTCTCAGATTTTGGAGCCCCAATATATAAACAATAATAAACAATCAGGAACGGGTTTGTTTGAGAGATTATATTGTTTGGAGACCAATTTGTAGAGTTGAAACCGGTAAATTTTATTGTTTGTTTATAAATAATTTGACGATATTCACAGTATGTTTATGTGAGACGGTGGAACAACACGGCAAGTTTAATTATTTTTGCAAAATTACTTATTTGTTATTGAAAAACAAAAACTTGAATTTAAGCCAGTTAATAAAAGTTTATTAATGTTTTTTATGTTATATTATAAATAAAAACCACTTGTAAATATAATTTTTATAATTTTTCAATTTATTTTATACAAGAAAAAATTTTCCGCGTTATTTCATGGCGGAGTTGCCAGACTGAAAACAAATTTATTTGTGAATATTTTAAAGAAAGTTTTGTTGTAAGATTTTTACTTTAGAAAGTTTTACTTTTTCTCCACAATTTCATTCCTAAGCTTATATCTAAAGAATTTAATTTTATATTTTGGGTCAAAGGTAAATTTAGTAAGCCACCTTATGTTAAAACATCGAAATTCACTGTTACAAACATAATTTATACAATTTAACTTCAATAAAATACCATCGTTTTCTTTTCATCATAATTTTTCTATATCTATTACAATTTAAAAAAAATTGACGATTTACTTTTCATTAAACGTGAGTAAAATATTTATTGGAATACAATTTTTATAACTGATATAATGATTATATTCTCAATTCATCTACTGCCAGGAGTTATAATGACGGTTACCTCGAAATAATAAGACCAGATTATAATTCCGGCGTTATTGAACTACAAATAAGACTCTATACTATTAGTATTAACTATTTTATTACGCACAAAAACACTAACACAGTAAAATGCTAAAACAATCTTATTTCCTTATCAAGTTTTCTTAAAAGTTTTGACCTATAGTATTTTGTATAAGGAATATAATATCAATAATTTTCAAAACAAGGTTGAGGCATAATTGATTAAGATCTAAAACAAAGACAAAGGTTCTAGGGACACTCTTCAGTGTAAAAAAATATTTGAAATTTGAATCCTTCTGTACATTGTTTCAATTCTAAAAAAGCTTTTAGCAGCATATTAATTTTTTAAGAATTAAAATAACAATATGTCTTTTCCCACATTCGTCAGTTTTAATGCGAAATGTTCAGAAGTAATCAGAAAAACAACAAAATACTTTCAAATTTGTTTAAAGGAACGACTTATTGTAAAAATCTGCAATACAGGCAAGTACGGGAACAGATATAATATGTACTTCCAATAATATTTCTACTGCGGACGCTTGTGAATTTAGTTAAAGTTAAATTTATTGAGACTTTTTTGAAACGAACCCAAATTATAAAAACCATGCTTGTGAATTTAATACGTCCCGTATTTAAAGTGTAAGATGTCTTCGCTACTAAAGTAAGAATTGTCACCCAGACGTTCTTGAATGTGAACATAAGGTAAACAAATTGACCAACTGTATAAACTTCGTTATGATCTCTACGACTGTTTACCCCAACGAGATGATCTAGCTGGTCATGTAATTAGAGGTAAGAAAACATTAGCATAGAATGTAACTTATTTGCATTATTTATAAATTCAATTTTAATTTTTTGTTTTCATAAAGCTAAAGCCACCGAAAGCTTCACAACATTTCCAATGGAATTAGTAGAATTGCAAGTCGGCAGTTGTTAGCTTATACAAATCTGCTTGGTATCCTGGCAAATGTTAGAAAGTTGAGATACTTTCGTTAAGTAATCAAAAGACGCTACGGTAAATATTTAACTTTTATACAGTAACAAATGAATTGCGACAAATGAATAAGTAAATTATGTATATGCTGTTAATAATAGATATTAATTTAAATGTTCATAAAGGTCGCTGTATGGCTTTTCGGATGATTTGGACTTATTACAAACTGGAGAACAAAAAAGGTAATTGGTTTAAGAAAATAAATAAGAAAGTTAAAAGAAACAATTAATACACTTTTGGTATTCGCCATCCAGCCTATTATCAGTTTTTAACTTGTTCAAAAATACAAAAGATTTCAGATTCTTCGAATGTCATCTACTTTTACATCGTAAATTCTGCATTTGATATGAAATTAAAAAATCTAATGAGGATTCTAATGACTTTATATGTAAATACATATGTATTAAAGTCCTACACAAGACAACAATTTGTTATAAATGTGGTGTGCGCTAGATATTAATTAATTTAAATGTTCATAAAGGTCGCTGTATGGCTTTTCGGATTATTTGGACTTATTACAAACTGGAGAACAAAAAAGGTAATTGGGTTAAGAAAATAAGTAAGAAAGTTAAAAGAAGCAATTAATACACTTTTGGTATTCGCCATCCTGCCTATTATCAGTTTTTAACTTGTTCAAAAATATAAAGGATTTCAGATTCTTCGACTTTTACATCGAAAATTCTGCAATTGATATGAAATTAAAAAACCGAATGAGGATTCTAATGACTTTATATCTAAATACATATGTATTAAAGTCCTGCACAAGACAACAATTTGTTATAAATGTGGTGTGCGCTACATAAAAGATCATCAAATTTTGGTACAAGATATTTTTTAACAAATTGCTATCTTAGGCAGGAATTTATTATGTATTGATAACTTTTCATTACTGCTTGTCCAAATTTCAAAACTTTAAAATCGTTTCTCTAAATATTTTGATATTGTGGCCAACCGAGTTACTGCAATAAGCCCTTCAATTATTTATTATAATGAATGATAACAATTATTACGAATTCTACACAAGTTCAAAAAGTCGAAGTACATTTAAAACGAAGGTGAAGGGTATAAAAATATATCTTCGATAACTCTTCTGTTGTTTGATAGATACTTGAAACTTCTTTAGGCAAGAGGTAAACCCTATGACAACATTAATTTGTGGAATAATATGTAAAGACCACATATCACTTTTTTTTAAAGACTCGACGCTTTTGCCGTTTTTTATTTCAAATGCAAAAAAAAGATTCTGGACAAATTGTTCCTTTTTCCCGTAGAAGTCTAGACCTACAGTTTAAAATATTTTTAATTATTGCTGCAACAATTTATAACAAATGCCACATCTCATTAGATGGGAATGATTTAAAAAATGTTTCGGTCATTAATGAAATGTTTGTTGAGCATTTAACCTAAAGTGAACAGAATTGTAAAATTGTATGTACTCTGTCTACACACATTAGCAGAATTGTTAACCATATATGGCTCTGTGAGCTCGTTTATTAATAAAGTTCTCAAGAATAAAATAAATAAATGAATAAAAACGCATTGGACTTGAAACGCAATTGCAAATGAAAATTTATTTTGCCAAAGTAACCACGGCTACAATAATTTCTAAAGTAATTAGCAAATAAGCAAATAACACATCTCTTAAATATTTTTAACACTCGTCTCGTTTTTTTCTTTAAAATGTCTAAGTATTGTTTTACTAAGAATAGGTAATAAAGAGTATATTGTATTGATTGACATTGAATAAATGTT